CCCCCCCTCTAGAGTTGCACATTTGTCTAACAATTGGTATCGGAGCAGGAAGTTCTTCGAATACGTTATTTTTCAGGAACTAAAAGATCAAATGGCATCAAGGATGTTCAACGCAGGAGTGACCGAGGGACAATCAACCACGAGGCCACCTTTGTTCGATGGAACAAACTACTCGTATTGGAAGGAGAGGATGAGAATCTTTATCCAATCCAACGACTACAAGCTATGGTTGATTGTGAAGAACGGCTGCGGAGTCCCGATGAAGAAAGTCGGTGAAGTCAACGTTCCCAAAACCGAAGAGGAGTTCACCGACGAAGATTGCAAAAAGATGGAGCTCAACGCTAAGGCAATAAACATGATTTATTGCGGTGTTAATGCAGATGACTACTGCAAAATTTCGCGGTGTGAAACCGCAAAACAAATGTGGGAGAAATTGGAGGTCACCTACGAAGGAACCGCGCAGGTTCGGGAGGCCAAAATCGACCATCTTACTCACGAGTACGAACTCTTCTCAATGAAGGAAAACGAGAAGATTGAGGAAATGTTTCAGAGGTTCTCTAACATCATTAATCCTCTCAATCTTCTTGGGAAGACCTACACTGACCGAGAGCTCGTGAGAAAGGTGCTGCGAAGCCTATCCCCCAAATGGCGTTCAAAGGTGGACGCAATCGAAGAAGGTCGTGATTTCCAAACAACGACCTATGATGCTCTTCGAGGTAATCTTATTACCTACGAAACTACCCAACTCTCAAAGGTGGTTGAAGAGAGGAACAAGAGGTCTATTTCTCTACCCGCAACAACATCAACCCACAACAACGTTGATGATGAAGATGATGACAGCGCCGACACCGACCTCGGACTCTTTGTCCGAAAATTCAAGAAGATGATGCTCAAGAAGGGAGCCAAGAAGAACACTCCACCCAAATGCTATGGGTGTGGTGAAATTGGACACATCAAACCAATCTGTCCGAAGCTCAAGAACGAGAAGGACAAGAGGGCACCAAAGAAGCAACGTGCCTACATCTCTTGGGAGAACGACGGCTCCGGGAGTGAAGACTCAGAAACGGAGGAAGTGGCCAACTTATGTCTCATGGCCATTGAAGATGGTGATACATCAAAAGAGGTAAGTGATCAAGAACCTTCTCCCAATGATCCTTTAACTCTTAATGATGTTGTTTGCATTGTAGAAGATTT